AATTAATATGTTTATTATTACAATTTATATCCATTTGATCTAATAAGTTAGTTTCAAAAATTTAAACATTCACATTCATTTAGATATTACTGTTTTGTTTAGAGTTTATACAGGGTGGTTATAATTAAAGTTGCCCTACTCAGACTTGTATAGAGTGTGTTCTTGTTGACATAATTTAATGAAACTTGGTACAGTAGAACCTCGGAAACTCGGCCTAATGTGGACCGAAGGGTGGCCGAGTTTGTGAAAATGCCGGGTTATCGGGAATGGGGTTAAAAAAAATAAGTGCGAGTGTTTCCTCAGAAAATACTGTACTGTACTTGTATGTATTGTTTACTTGAGAATATAACAGAGAATAAACTGCCCGAATACCCTTAAACAAAGGAAAAGTACGTCCTTTACGAAGGCATAGAGCCTTTACTACATGAAAATGAAAATTAACGAATACACTGTGTACAGTAATTTACCTGATAAGACAGACCTCAGAAAAATACTTTATGAGAGCTTTTATACTTTTATAAAGCTGTCTATAATGAAAATTAATTAACTAAGGATTTTTTTGCTCTGCCAGGATGTGCCCGAGTTATCCGGAGTGCTGGGTTATCGAGAGCCGAGTTTTCGAGGTTCTACTGTATATACATTATATGGACCGTGGGGAAAAGAAAAATGCAAAAAAAAATATTTAATTGAAATTTCTACCACTAGGTGAAAAAATGGCAGATGAAGAACAAGAAACAAAATGGAAATGTGCTAAAGGTTTTTATTTGCATTCAATGTGCAATCCATTTGTGTCAATCACATGTTTAAAGTGCTTTACAGCATGTTTAATAGAAGCCTGATAGGTTTCTTTAGGAACTGCAACAACATGGCATGTTATGCTTGCTTTCAAGTCAGGCAGAGTCCATATGCCTCCTTTATAGAAACAATCTTTATTATATCTCCACAATTAAGTCACAGGGAATTTTTTCTCCTAGTAATAAAAATTTGAACTAAATATTTTTTTTTTTGTATTTTCCTTTCCCCTATGGTCCATATAATGTATATACTAAGTTTCATCAAAATACGTCAAAGAGAATAGGCTCCATACAGGTCCGAGTACAGCAACTTTAATTATAACCACCCTGTATTTAGTAGCTTAAGAATTTATTAAACAGTAGACAATACCAACATATAAAAATATCAACTTCATGTATTGTTTATTTTATAGTAAAATGATTATTAAGCAACAATTATTCATAAGAATATGCAATCTGTACCATTACATTACTCTTAAATTAATATTTCATAAAAATTGAATGACAAAGTTTTAATTTGAATTATCATATTTTATTTTAAACTTTAAAGTACGTTTTCAGACCACAAAAATATAACAATTATTCCGTTTAATAAGTTACATAATGTTGTTATACAACCCGTCAGAAAACAAACTGTCACAAACAGTCCTTAGACAAGTACCGATCTGAGGATCATGTTTTGATGTTTTAATTTAATTAAAACCATGGTTAAAGTTTACTTAGGGAACCGCAATGGCCACGCTTCCAGTAATCTCGATGGCATGTGATATTAGAAATTCATTGTAGGCACCGCTGTTTTCAAATTACATCATCATATGTAAATTTACTTTTCTGCACGACAATAAGAATCCTGCATGTGGTTTTTTTTAATAGTTAAATATTTATGAAGAAAAAGTCTTCTTTGCCTATTTACTATTAAAAATAAACTAAAGTTTCTATTTGTTATAGTTTTAAAGTTGAAATGAGAAGAAAATTGAATAATTTTCTTATAATAATAATTATTCACAGAAGTGTTGTTTTGTGAGATGATGGCTACTGCTGACATTAATTTGGATAAATTTTGGACTAATTGTACCTCTGGACAATTCTTTCGATTAATGTACTCTGGTTTCGACGATTTAGCAATAGATAAGAAAATACCCAGTTATGTGAAATTTACAATATTCTTGAATTTGCAACATGTAGAAGATGTATGCAACAAATGTGGAAAACATCATAAGTTAATGTATAGAGTAGAAAAAAAACTATTGATTCAATGTAATATTTGTAAAACAAATTATTCAGCATTTCAAGGAACGTTTAAAGGGAAATGTGGATATTCATCATGGGATAATATTTTGTCATTTATCTGGCACTTATTGTGTTTAGACTGTTCACTAACTAATGCTGCTGTAGCATCAGGAATCTCAAAAAAGACAGCAGTTGATTGGGCAAACTTTTTGTGTTTTGTTATGATGGTTCCTATTAACAACCTATCTAATTTTAAGATTGGCAGTTTAAATAAATTTGTGGAAATAGATGAAACAGTAATTGCAGAGAAAATATGAGAAAGGTAGAAAATTGAAGGGAATGAGATGGGTTGTAGGTGGTGTATGCAGAGATGATGATACTTGTTTTAGGCCTATATGCCAAGTAAAAAATAAGAATGAACATACTATAAATTGGGTTATTTCAAAGTTTGTTAATTCATACAGCACAGTGATTACAGATGAGTGGAGAGGATACAACAGTACAGTAGACCCCCCCTATAATGCGGGTTCCTATAACGGAGATTCCTATAATGGGGTGAAAAAATTGCAACAGTATTTGTATAAAGACGCTAAAAGGGACTCGTAAAACGTTATTGCCAACTCGTGTCGTGACAGGATTGGTCAAATCTGGATCAATAGTGGACGAGCAGACGAACTACTTTCTGCCGTCCAGCGCCATGCTACGGAGAGTTTAGGCGGGTAAGTTGAGTTTACTATCGTCTGTACAGTATGTAAATTAGGTACCGTAAGTCTAAAGCAGGATGCACACATGCGGCGCGGCAAGGAAAAGCAGTGACACAAACGCATCTTCGCCGCGCGGCAGCACAACCACACAAGCGGCAATCCGCTTACATTTCGGCGCATGCGTTCAGTATTCAAGATGGCGAACGATATCCACGTGTTTACACACTGTCCCTATCCACGTGTTTACAAATTTTGTTTTGTATGACTCGCTTTATTTAGCTAAAAGATTTTGTCGAAGATTTGAATTAGAGATACTTTTTTGGATCGAGAAAGAACTGGTGTACAAAATAGACTTATTCGTGGATCAAGATCTCTCGATAAAGAATACTATTTCGAGTAAGATTCGGTTGTTTTGTTCTTTGAATTAAATTATATATGATTATTTGTGTAGAATTTGTTTTAAATTTGTTATCCTTTCCTCTTTATTCTGATTTTAATTATCTCGGTTAACCGCCTCGAACTTTCCGCCATTAAAACACCACGTGATTGTATTTTCTCACGTGACTACGAGACAAACTGTTATTGGCTGATAGAAACGTGTCTTGGCGGCGTTGCCGCAAAAGATAGAATTCAACCAACTTTTGCGGCACGAGAAAAGCGGCACAAAATCGACTTCTGCGGCGAGAAAAAGTGACGTCATTCTGCCGCTTTTCCTTGCCGCGCTGCATGTGCATCCGGCTTAATACAACACTGTAATTTTATACATTTCTTGTGAAAGAAACATTTCTTATTCAACGGCCATTAAAATTATTTATATTAATGATGTCTCCAAAGTTCAACGAAGTTTTCGCAGAAAAATAACTTATCAGAAATTGCGGCCGCAGTTTGGTGCGCTACTCTGCGACAAAAACAAGCTTAAGCAATGGCAACGTCGAACGGTGCACACTCGGTAAGTAATCCTACAATTTTTTGTTTATAGCATAGTTTATATGAATTATTCCCAAAAAATTATAAGTATTTTGGAAATGTTGAGTCGAATTAGTCTAGAATTGATTAATTTTATGGAAGAAAACCTTTCAAACAGCCGTAGTCTGTAAACTTCACATGTGTCGGGCTGTGACTAGCTCATGTATTTAAGGATTCCTACAACATGAAATTCGTATAACATGGAACGTATCTATGCATTATAGGGGAGTCTACTGTATAAACAATTTAGATTTAAGTTTGGATATAGATCATTTAACTGTAAATCATTCTAAAAATTTCATGGATCTGAAAACAGTAGCCAATATGCAGAAAATTGAACAATTGTGGGGGTATTTAAAAAACAGGAAAACACCTTCCGGTTCATTATACAGAGGAATTCTCCGAATCCTATTTGTATTTTTTTATGTATAAAAATCTCAAATGACACTTGAAATCTGCAGGGAAACGTTTTCAAATTTTTATAAAACCCGAGCTTTATTTATCCCAGGTCTGGAATTGAGCTAAAATGGAAAAAATTGAGAGTCTGTTCCAGCTGCTCCAAAAAATGATGAGTGTAAGAAGGTAAAAAAAAAAAACCAAAAGTAAATTCATCCGTTGGAATTGAAAAAAGTGTAAAAATATCAAGTAAAAAGTGAAAAATTAGTGATAAGGATCGTAAATGCAATAAAAGAAGTGAGAAAAAAATAACGAAAAGAAAATGTAAAAAATCGTCAAAAATGTGAGTAGACAGTTGATTTATTTCATAGTTATTGAAAATTGTGAAATAATCTTAAAACATTTACTATTTAACAATGTAATAATTAATTTTTCAATAAATTCTAAATACTAACTAATTTGCATATTTTTTTGAACGATAGTACGCGTGCGTATTACAGTAAACAAAATGGCAACCGGAAGCGCGGCCATTGGGGTTCCCTAGGTAAACTTTAACCAAAACCACTTTAATGATGCATACTGCAAACATTTCAGAATAAGTGTTAAATATTAAAACAGTTTATGCAAGTTTATTTGAATTTTTCTTATTGAATATATTCAAGCCAATATGTATATATACGTATGAGCAAAAAGTCAAAGTGATATTTGCAAGATCGCGAGACCCACAAAATCGAGTCTCGCGAGTCGCGTTGCTTCACTAACACTATAGCATTTAGGTTCCTTTGACTTTTCTGCTCGTACAAGGTTTACGATGCGGGAGGTGGGTCAAAATGCTAAAAAAAAACCCTCATTTGAAGCTGCAATCTTACCACGAAATAATACAAATTAATACCAATAAAGCGTAACTTACCAAAAGTGCAAGTCTCGTCTGTCGTCCAAACTTCTCGCAGCTACGAAGCCGACTTCGGATTACGAATTAACATCCCATGCAAAATTTAACGTGTTACATTTCTTGGAGAAAAATAACGCCATTTTTCGACTATTTCGTGTCGTTTTCTTTCTTTCGCCGAAATTTACCAACAGTTTAACTCTTCGTCTCCGACCGCCACGCAAATCCTCGTCCGAACACGACCCCGCCATTCGAATCCACCGCTATTAGCTACGAACGATTTGCCGGATTACTCCCCGGCCACGTCGTTATCTCTACCGAAAACTAGCCCAAAAATCTTCCAAATTTCCAAAGGAGAAATTTTTCAAACCGACATAAAATATCGATTGTTCCGCGTTTTTCGTTTCGGAAAATTAGAAGAGAAATAAATATAATTCCGAAATTTCCTAAATATACGATTAAAGTTAAAGTGTGTTAATTGAAATTAAACAAAATTCCAATTGTAAAAAGCCTTTAATTTATGTGTTTTTTTTAATTCGTACGGGATTTCGTGAATTTCTCTTAAACTGATAAGGAGTTGAATTTGCCGAAAAGTAAAATGTTTGCGCAACCCGTATTGCACGGACAGTTCGGTATTTTTTGATCTTCTTTCCAGACGGTTTTTGTTAAAAGGTCGTTTTTACCCGGTCCGTCTTGGGTTCGGCCGGGTCCGCGACGGAATGGCCGGATACTGACCCCAACGTAACACTCCTCAAAAATTTCATGGATTTTTCTACCCGCTCAGAGTTTCTGGAGGGCGGCAGTTTCCCAGGACACATTAATTCTTCGGCTACCTGGCTGCCGTCACCCTTCCTATTGGCGGCAGGTACCGTGTCACATAGTATAATACACAGACTTCCAATACTTGCAATGTTGAGAATTTTCGATATTTCGTGTTAGTTTTNACTCCCCGGCCACGTCGTTATCTCTACCGAAAACTAGCCCAAAAATCTTCCAAATTTCCAAAGGAGAAATTTTTCAAACCGACATAAAATATCGATTGTTCCGCGTTTTTCCGTTTAGGAAAATTAGAAGAGAAATAAATATAATTCCGAAATTTCCTAAATATACGATTAAAGTTAAAGTGTGTTAATTGAAATTAAACAAAATTCCAATTGTAAAAAGCCTTTAATTTATGTGTTTTTTTTAATTCGTACGGGATTTCGTGAATTTCTCTTAAACTGATAAGGAGTTGAATTTGCCGAAAAGTAAAATGTTTGCGCAACCCGTATTGCACGGACAGTTCGGTATTTTTTGATCTTCTTTCCAGACGGTTTTTGTTAAAAGGTCGTTTTTACCCGGTCCGTCTTGGGTTCGGCCGGGTCCGCGACGGAATGGCCGGATACTGACCCCAACGTAACACTCCTCAAAAATTTCATGGATTTTTCTACCCGCTCAGAGTTTCTGGAGGGCGGCAGTTTCCCAGGACACATTAATTCTTCGGCTACCTGGCTGCCGTCACCCTTCCTATTGGCGGCAGGTACCGTGTCACATAGTATAATACACAGACTTCCAATACTTGCAATGTTGAGAATTTTCGATATTTCGTGTTAGTTTTCGGCCAATAATATTTGATTCGTCTATGGACTACTTTCGTAGAGTTTCGATCGGAGTTCAGATATACAGAAAGCGTGCATTATACGTATAAAGGAATAAAATTGGAAAAAATGCAGTGGCGTGCCGTCCTTGGAAGCGGTGGAAGCGCCGCTTCCCTTGTATTTTCTAAAATATAAACACATACTGAGCGATTATTTTCATATTTTAACATACTTTGAATTAATTAAAATTAATATTTTATTATAACCGCATCACGTATCTCATTACACATTTCTATACTACGTGTGAAAAAAACAATAAGATTTCTATTGTGTATTCGAATATCAGTGGCGGAACGGAAGCGCTGTATAGAGAAACAGGGTCAACTTCCAAATAGCCAGATTATACGCATTCGCGCATGCTCTTTACAGAGCACCAACCTCACCCGGCTTAGCTGGTGGAAGGTACACATATATAACGCTTTCAATGATTCTATCCCGGACCGGTTCTGGGCTGTTAGCCGCCTGCCTGCTAGATATTTGGCCGCCCGCTCCTCATTATGTGAATCGCGAGTAGATTTATAATTTAACCGATAGGAGTTTACTGGTATGTTTTTATGATAGTTCTGTATAGTTCACAGGAGTTTTAAAAACTCCATTAAAATATTTGATATTTTTATTCCGCTCTCCTATCTTGTATTACTTACGGATTTCAATGTTAAACTAGTGATATTACGATTTAGTATGTCCCATCTATAAGGGGATGCAGAAAAAATCGTATACAATTCTTGTACAATGTTAAAAAAATGAACTGTTACTTTGGCAACATCATTTACAACTAATTTATAATGAATGAGATGCACAAAATACAAAAAAAAACCCCTCTATAATTTATTTTCGTTAAATTTACGATTTATGTATCCGTCGTTATAAAAATTTGTCTTTCCACTTCTTTGCCCAAGACTACAAATATTCAAGTACAAAGTAACCGATTTCGACTTATTTCTAGTTAAGAAGTAGTTAAATAATTAAGAGATTATGGAATTAGGAACATAAATAAAACCCTGCTGAAAGAGCCTGGATTTTACTTAAACAAAAGTTTAACAGTGGGGGCTGATTTCTTCGTAATATTAGATGTAATAAAGACAGAAATTTTTTCAGTTCAACAAGAGTGACCGAAAAGTTGTAAATTTTAGAAATTTCCGTGGACACCTGGTCCTAAAACGAATTAGAAAACAAATGACTGTTAAGTTTAACATATTTTACAGCTATGGCGAGAAACGTTTAAAATTTACAACCCTGTCGCGTCCTTTGAGGTATACTAGTGATACGACGAAAGAAGCATTTAACATTGACCGGTATCGGCACCCTAGGGATTTGACAGCCCGCGTGCATGCACCTACCAGGACCGTCTCTGATTCCATTCATTAGCCACTCGTATTGAGCTATTTGACTAAGTGCATTGTTTTAAGGTTTAAAAAGTAAAGAATATTTTATGTTATTTTTATGTACGTTTCTTTCCAAAGCTACATTTAATTATAATTTTTTTTAAAGTATAGGCCTATTCATACAATTGAAGAATATTTTGTACCAGGTATGTATATCCACCACACATTTTATTTCACCGAGTAAGTTTTTATTATTTTATTTATATTTTTAGCCCTTATATCGTGGCTAGAGATTCAGAATGTAATTGTGATATTAAAAATACATTTACAGAAGTCTACGGTTTTTACTGGCTTATCGAACAAACGAATACGAATGGACCCTAGACCATCACTGAGGCGCAATTAACTGATTGCCCTTGGAAGTCGGCTTCTTATAGAAACACAGCTAAGGATGCACCGATAAGCAAAATGGCCGATTACCGATTAATCGGCCATGCATTATCGGCCGATACCGATTAATCGGCCGATTAGTGTTAATAATTTATAGCATCAATTAATAGTGTGAGATCCTGGAGTTAATTATACAGTTAATTATAATGTGGAAAAACCCATTTTTCTCCACCTGATATTTCCATCTCCCTCGGGTCAGGTAAACAAGAGACGATCGAATATCCTCGCCAAATCAACAATCTCTTCCTTTGTTTCTAAAATAAATCGCAACACTTAATTGTTGACACATGGAAACTTCGACATTGTTTAAAAAGCTGAAGTGTTTCTGTGTTTAACAGAAACAAAATATATTTCTTTAACCGCTGATATTTGGACAGCAACTACAAACAATTCTCCTTTTTCAAGTGTAACGGTCCACTGATTGAAGGATGATTTTCAGCAGGAAAGAACTGTTTTGCAAATTGTTTCCTTTGAAGGTTCCCACACAGCTACAGGAATTAGTGAACAGTTAAAAATTGTTCTTGAACACTATAAGTTGACAAGTGATAAGATATTCTTAGTACTAAGAGATTATGCGGCAAATCTGGTAGCTGGAAGTAGGAATTGCAACTTAGAAGCATTATCGTGCTTTATACATACGCTGCAGCTGACACTAAACGAATGCATATTTTCTAAACAAGATGTGAAAACTATAATCACAGTTAATAGAAATATTGTCACACATTTTAATCATTCTGCTGTAGCTGTAATCAAATTGGAAGATTTGCAAGAAAAGTTAGGTTTGCAGAAACACAAATTAATTCAAGATGTTCCTACTCGCTGGAATTCTACATACTACATGTTGGAACAGCAAAAGGCCCTTGTCACATATGCTATAGATAATAAAATTCCTACGTTGAGCCCATATCAGTGGTCTCTCGTTGAAAAAATTGTTCTACTTGTAAAACCATTCAAAGAAATTACTGTGGAAAGCCAGCAAACGAGAAGCCACTTCATCTTCAATAATTCCCACAATAGAGACTCTGAAATTATTCTTATCAAAAGCAAAGATCAGTAGTTCCTTTAGTGGCATTAATACCACAACAGAAGAACTAGAAAATCCAATAAAAAAAAATTTTCAGCATATATAGAAAACAAGTCTTTATGCTTGTCATTTTTATTAGATTCAAAATGAAATTTCAAAAAGAGGATATGCTAGAGGAAATCTCAATAAGAATTAAATTCTGAAGCTTCTACTTCTGGAGGTGATCAAGATGGAGGTGAATTTCTAAGTTTTTCTGATTTATTTGATGAATTAGCTTCTGGTAAACGAAAGAATGAAGAATAGCATGTTTTTAAAAAGAAAGAAAAAAAAAAAAAAAAAGAGACGAACAAACGTTTCGATCAAGAATTAGAAACATATTTACATTTATCCCTAATTTGAGCAAAATAGCTATGAAATATTTAAGTGCCTCAGCATCTTCCATTGAAAGTGAAAAAATTTTCAGCACTGAAGGTAACATTTATGAGCCGGCAAAAAATAGGTTATGCCCTGAAAATGATGAAATTCTCATGTTTTTGCATTGTAAAAACAAACTGTAAAACCCTTAAATTGTAATTTAAGGGTTTTACAGTTTAAATATTAAATTTTTATTTGTTTTATATTTGTTTTGTATTTAAACTTTAAACTTATGAAACAAATAAAAATTTAATTTTTCTTCTTAACCTATTCCATACTTTTTCTTATGTAAAGTTTAAACTTTATATTATACGTTATGTTATACTTGTAATATGTATTGATGAAAGGAATAATTTGATTAGTAAAATTTTTTTAATATTCAGATTGTCATGTAATAAATAATAG